AACATCCACAATGTGCTCCTCACGTGCTAAGTTATTTCTTCTCAACACTTCCCCTCAACCTGGGTAAGGTGCATACACATTGAGCACTCCAGCTTGGACGACATCAAATGCTCATGCTGTGACCTTGCTAATCATTCGTTAGTACATCTGCAATTGTCCTTGGAGCATATGTGCATTGTTTTAACCATCCCCATTTGAATCTTCTCCCTTATGAAATGATAGTCTATTTCAATATGCTTTGTTCTCTCATAATAAACTGGATTTGATGCTATCTGCAAGGCAGATTTGCTATCACAGTATAAGGCAACATGCAACTCTAACTTTTGCACCAAGCTCCTTGAGCAAACCTATCAACCACACCAGTTCTGCTATCACTGAATCCATGCTTCTATATTCTGCTCAGCTGAGCTTCTAGACATTGTACTCTGTTTTCTTTGACTTCAAAGATATTAGTTGAGTCCCTGTGCTTAATGATGAACCCTATCACTGATCTTCAGTATTTGGACATGAAGCCCAATCTGCATCACAAAATGCAGTTAGAGTATTTTCTTAATGAATGCTCATCATAATCCCAAGACCTAGTTCCCTTTCACATATCTCACTACCTTGATTGCTGCTTCCCAATGTGATTTCTGGGGGTTGTGCATGAACTAGCTAAGTGTTTGAAATAGCAAAAGGAATATCCAACCTTGTCAAGGTCAAAATACAGAAGCTTTCCCACTAGCTTCGATATTTTCCTTGTCAATCAATGGATTATCACCTTCTGCTCCTGTATGATCATCAAATTCCTTTGTTGTAAATTTTGATTGCAATCCAAGGGGTCCAGCTTGATTTGTAGCACTCAAACCTAAGTCAGATATCAATTCCAAGCTATACTTCCTCTGATTCATTAGTATCCCTTTGTGTGATCTGTAGAATCCAATACCTAGAAAGCATTTCAACTCTCCCAGGTTTTTGATTTTGAAAGACTGGTAAGTCTCTCTTTGGTTTCCTCCATCAACTTCAAATCATTGCCAGTTATGAGTATAATCATCTTCATATATAGTATGATCACTATGATGTTCCTTGCCTTCTTGTGAACAATGAATAGTCAAAATGGCTTTGCACAAACCCCTGAAGAACCAGTGCTTTAGTGAGTTTAAACATTCCCATTATCTGCTTGCCTACTTGAGCCATATAAGGATTTGACAAGCTGCAAGACCTTGCCATCAGTGTTCTCCCCTGGCTTGCAAATCCCTCAGGGCAACTGCATATACACTTCATCTTATAGAGTCACCATGAGAAAGGCATTGTTATACATCTCTTTTGAATGTTCCACCTTCAAGTGTTGCAATAGTCAAGCCCCCACTTTTTGGTTGTACCCTTTGCCACTAGTCGTGCCTTTAACCTCTCAAAAATCTCCATTGGGTTTGGTACTTCACTTTGTAAACCCATTTACAATCCTATAGGAGTTTTTTTCCTTTGGTAGAGTCACTAACTCCCAAGTCTTATTGTCTTCTAAGAGCTTGGATTTCAGCTTTCATTGACTCTATCCATCTCTTGTCTGAAGATGCCTCAAGGAATGTATTTGGTTCTATCATAGCTGAAAATTGCTTTCAAATAGTCCTGATAAGCTGGCTTTAGTTTTTTTATATAACTCAGGTACTTGCAGATGAAGTATGACTCTTGGAGACTTATCTAGAGCTGCAGTGACATAATCTGTCATCTATACTGGTGTCTTCTTATCTCTGTTGGACTTCCTGATAGCTAGATCAACTTGTGTGATCTCATTGATATCTGTAGTATGTTCCTGCTCCAAGTTGTCTGCACTTTTGTTTTCTTAGGTTCTATAGCATCCAAGTGTCATGCATCTGCTTCTTCCAAAGAATGCAGTGGCCTGTATCTGCCCCATCCCAAAGGAATTCCTTTGAAAAGTTCTCCTTCTTGTGCAACTACCAAATCCGATGCTTCTTAATGCTGAAAGAGAAGAATTGCTTCATTGAAGGTGAACATCCCTGTTAACAAAGAAGAACTATTTGGTTAGATAATACAATATATAGCCTTTTGTTGCCCTCTGAATACCCCATTAATGCTGCTGCAACTGCCCTACTTCCAAACTTGTCACGATGGTGCATCTTCTTTGCATAGAACAAACATCTCATAGTTCTAATGTGCTCTATACTGGCTTTTCTACCAATGAAAAACCTCAAATGGACTCTTCCTTGTCAACGACTCTGGAGGGCAGCCTTGTTCATCACATATACTGCAGCTAACACACAATGCCCCTAACTTATGTGTATTTCCTTGGAAACCTCATAGCCCTTGCAATTTCCAATATGTGTCTTTGCTTCCTCTCAGCTATCACATTCTGCTGAGGAGTGTAGACACATGTTCTTTGATGAAGTATTCCAGTAATCCCCGAAATAATATACTACATTCTGCATTTACAAACTCTGTTCCATTGTAGTTCTAATGATTTTTACATTTCTGTAAATTGTGTTTGAACAAGTCTAAGAAAATTTCTCAGTACTATTATCACATCACTTTTAAGTTTCAGTAGATATACACAAGTTATCCCATGAATGATAATCTATTTCCATCAAAAGGGTTGCACAGTATATGGTCCCCGTACATCAATGTTCTAACAACTGAAAGATCTCCTCGACTTTATTAGTACTATCATTGAAATGGAATCTAGTGTGTTTTTCTAGTGGGTCGACATTACAGCTTCCTAACCTTCTTTTACACTCATCATAATGCCAAAGTAAACAAATGTCTTATTGATCCTATAGAAGCATGTCCTAATCTTCTATGCCACAACTCAATGTCCTGACTTTTATTCCTACCAGATAGTCCCAACAATGCCAATCTCTTCCTTTAGGCAGAGATTGAGGAAGCAAGTAGAGTCTACTCATTTATCAATCTCCTTTACCTTCCCACTGAAAAGATCCTGGAAGAATGCAAAAATCAGGGTAGAACCAACACAACTACTTAAAGCTCTGGTGATCTTTAGATACTGATAAGGTATTATAATCTTAATTAGGTATGTAATTGAACATTATCAATTCTTTCTGTGTTCATCACATTACGGGACCCTGTGTGAGTTACATCTGAGACTCCTCAATATAGGTAGATGTACCTTTTTTGAGTCATTTTGACAAACTTCTAGCCTATTCTTCAGTAGTTCTAGGTTTTGAGATCAATATGATTTGTTGCTCCAGTGTCTATAATTCATTCATCACTATTTCATTTGCAAAGAAAGCTTTAATACTACATGTCATATTCGGCTGAGCTACCTCCATTGTTTGCTGAGTCTCTCAAACGTATGTTTTCTTTGTTGAGGAGCTTCATTATCTGATTATATTGTTCTGGAGTAAAATGTGGAGGCTGTGGAGTGAATGTAGGTCCCTTAAATGCATATGCTGCTCTCAATCCATATGAAGGCTGATTCCTTCCTCCCCATGCATCCAAGAGGTCTGTTGTCTCCCAAAACCACATTATGTGCAAAATTGCCTTCAAACTTCTTTTTGAACTTGAAATCCTATAGATAGCCAATCACTTAAAGCAACCATCTCTAGTAATGGCCCTTCATCTTGCAGTAGTCATATTGGACGTTGTAATTCCTTTTAACTTTCTGAGCATAGGATCCCTTTTGTGCTTAGCAGAGCTGTCATTTCAGTTTTGTCTTTAACAATTGTCATATTTGCTATACTTCTCTAGCTCTCTGTTTCAACCAGCATAGAGTAAGCTTTGTTCACTGTTGGAAGTGGCTCCATCATCATGATCCTGCCATATGTCTCGTTTAGCCCCATGAGAAACTGCAACAACTTCTGCCTCCGCAATGAAAGTTACATAATCTTTGACTTTGGGCAATCACATTCCAAGAACTGGTGCTAAACTGTCAATTTAGCCTAGAGTTCGCGCAATTTAGAGTAGTAACTGGCAATAGAACTGATTCCTTGAATTCATATTCTAGATCCATTTCACTTTGCCGAGTCCTCCTTTTTAAATCTCTCCTAAACAGTACATGCATATGAAGAATATACAATTTCACTCAGTAATCCTTCGAGACATAGTTCATTATCTACGATAGAATGATCGCATTGCATCTCTCCCACAGATCTGTCAAATTTAGACCATAACTTTCCTTTTTTATAGGTGCCTCCAATGAATCCCATCTTATTTTCATCCTAGGATCACAATACGCATTGCTTGCCTCCCATATGGAAATAGTTTCAGATACTATTAGTTGCGGAGAAATTAGTATCGCTCCTGAATTATCTGTGGAATGCAAAATAAAGGATGATTATGGCTCAAATTCTCAAGCAAAGAGTTGTCTGATGTTGTCGCCATTGTCAAAATCTTCAAGTTGTGCCCTAGAAATCGAAGAAGATTCAAAGAAGCTGTCTCCTAAATTGAAGCTAAAAACTGACGAATTTAGCTAATTACGAACTTTTAAAGACACATAATTGCTCATGGCTCTGATACCATGCCGAATTTAGGAGGTGACTGCCACTGGAAGCTTAGCTTCTTAGAGAAAGAAATGAAGGAGAGAAGAGAGAGGGAATGTAGTAACCGATTTTTAGTGTTATATTGAAAACTATAAATGAAATATGTACATAGCCCCTTATATATAATGCTCACTAACTATCCCTAACTAATGATAGCTAATTACAGTTATACTACTCACTTAACAAATAACTATATTTTGTTATTCCTAACTAACTAACGACACATGTCTTCCCTCACGTGCTAAGTTATTCCCTTCTCACAACTACCAACTAATAATTGTGCCATAGTATATTGGAAAAATAGAGTACATAAAATATACAGTATGCTATCACTTTATTTTTTTCTGTATCACCAATTAAGAAGCCATCTCAATATGAATTTAACTAGTAATTTTAGGGGAAAACAAAATTTGAAAAGGCAATAATTAACTAAAATTGTCTACTTCTATGTTCTTCGATTAAGTTTTAGTGTATCCAGTAACCCGATTTCATATCTTGGTCGAGATAGGAATGTCGCGTCAAGGAGCTAGGACGTCGAGTCCGGAATTTCGGAAGCCTCGTTTCAGACCGAGGTCGACGTCAATCGCGGCTAGAAAGAGACAGACTCCGAGTGATATCGGTATAGCTTGATAACGGAAAAGGCGAGATATCCGAAATTGATCGAGGATCGTGGCGTGAATCTTGAAAACGGATCAATCTACCACGGTTAATCAGATGTTAAATATGGTTTCCTACTATAATTGAAGTGTACTTATTAGGACTCCTCTATTATATAAATTAATAAAGAGGGACCACATTCATTTGTAATGATCATTGCTCACTAAGAAGAATATATACACTCGTTATTTCCTGTTATTTCACTTATTATTCATCAGACTTGGTTTATCATTTATTGTTCTTACTATTCACCTTTCGAGACTATCCCGAGTCGAGGTCGAGACCTGGCTAGCATATTAGTTTGATTTATTTTATTCATTTATTTTCTTGCTTATTAATTGGTATTGGATGAAACCACATATCCTTAAAACCACAATTAAGTTTAATTGTTATCCGAATTTGAGGGTAAAACATTTAGTTTGTCATATAAGAGCCTAATCTGCTGCTTTTAACAAAAGAGTTCAATGTTAATTAATCTTTTGATAATGGCCAAAAGCCAGTGCAACTCACAGAAGGTAAATTTCAACTTCAGGTGTATCACTTTATTTGTATACACGTTTTCAGGTAAAAAGGACTAATTAAAGTAATGTAACAAGATCAAGATAAAAAGTGCCAGCATCATTGTTTGTAAAAAGCCAAAGTTTGGTATGTTTTTACTAATCGACTTACTGGTAATGCATGAATTTTTAGATTCTTATAATATTATATTTTGTGAGTTATCTGAAAAATTTTTCCTGTCATCCACCATAGTAATATTTTTGGTAAAAGATCCAATACCTTGACTATAGAGTATAATTTATATGACCAGGCCTTTCTGTTTTTAATTAGAGGTTAATTAACTTCTACAGACGAATGGTGGAAAATGTTTTTACACTTGAGGTCATCAAAAATTACTACAGCTATAACAAGTTAAATTGTATTAATAGAGTAATTTTTTTTTACATTTGATATATATAAGTTGAATCCTTCTCATTTATTTATGAGTCACTGTAAGTTTCTTTAAATGATGCAACACTACTAGCAAAAACTATCAACAATCGTCCAGGAGAACCAACTGAAATCGGTCGAAAATATAGGAAAACCGACCGATTGATTTTAATTCCCGAAATAATAGTGATCGCTAAGATGTGGCGACCGAAGACGGTCACAATAATTTTCGATCGATAAGTCAAGTCCGTTAATTCAACCTTTGTGCATATAGAATCACATTATTAAACGTCAGAGTCAGAAACCGAAATTCGATTTTCATAATTAAATTGAGGAAACAGGCTGGCACTTAAATCTTAAATTCTTAATTAACAATAGAATATTCCAACCTATGAGGTAAAGAGACCGGCCTATTTGTGTTAGGTGAAAAATGGAAATATCTCTTGATTTTTTCTCTAACTTACACCTGTCAATGGTGAAACAAGTAATATTTCTTGATGAATATTGTTGCAGATACAATGAGCTTTTAATAGTTTACATGCTGATCTAAAAGATAAACATTATACTCTAAGTACAATAATGATTTAAAATTCAAAAATTACATTATATATTTTATCACGCCCCTCAAGCGATTGCATGGTCTGGAAGAATGCGAGAGCTTGTTGCGCAAAAAATAATCGACGGTGAGGAAGTGCCTTGGTAAATAAATCTGCAAGTTGATCTTGACTAGGGACAGTATGGACTTGAAGAATACCAGCGGCACTTTTTCACAGAACTCAAAATGAATATCAATCTCCGACATGCTTGGTAGAGCATGTTGAACAGGATTTTGTGCCAAATATATGTGCTAATATTTGTCACAGAAATTGTGGAAGGCGAAGAAGAAGAAACATGATTTCCTTTAAAAGAGAATGTAACCATGTGAATTTAGCAGCTGCGTGAGACACTGCACGATATTCAAGCTCAGCACTTGATCGGGAAACAACATTCCTTGCTTCTTAAGAGGGACCATGAAATAAGATTCGGGCCAAGGAAGATACAGTAGGCCGAAGTGGGATCGACGAGTTATAGAACAACCCAGCCCAAATCTAGCATCATTATAGCAGGTGTAAACTGTCAATAGAACCACCAAGGAATAAATAAACCGTGACTCAGTGAACCATTGCAATATCGAAAATTCTTTTTACAGCAGTATAAGTGGATGTCTAAGGGGAATGCATAAATTGTAGATACTTGATTAACTGCAAAGGCAATGTCTGGACAGGTAAATGTCAAGTAATTGAAGACACCAACAAGAGCTTCTATAAAGTGTGGGGTCAGAAAAAGGGGAAGAATCATTCCGAATGCTGTAGAGACTTAGGAGAAAGAGGAGTTGAAACTGGTTTTTGGAAGAAAGCAAATTTGCACGACCAAGGAGATAGAAAATAACCTCCATCACGAGCAGTTATAGAAACACCAGAAAATAATTAACTAATCCTAAGTCATTCATTGAAAATTCGGATTTAAGAGTGTGAATTAAAGATTGAAGTAAGTAGTAGAAGAGGCAAGTAAGGAGAATATCATCAACATATAGTAGAAAGAAATAGCAATGTCTGAAGTTATATTTATAAATAAAAAGAGAGGGATCAGACAAGCTATTTTGAAATCCAGTTCTTAGTATGATAAAAGAAGTGAACCGATGGAACCATGCCTACGGGGCTTGCTTTAAGCCATAAAGTGCTTTTGTTCAATCGACAAACATGATGAGGAAATTGTGGATTGACAAAGCCAGCAGGCTTGTTTCATGTTGCCAGTTTCGTTAAGAATTGCCATGCAAGAATGCGTTCTTAACGTTAATTGATTGAACATGCATATTTCTTAGATGCAGCAAGGGCGCAGAAATAGTACGAATGGTTACTGGTTTCACCACAGGACTAAATGTTTGATCATAATCTAGTCTTGTTGTTGTTTGTATGCCTTGGGCCATCAAGACGAGCCTTAAAACGCTCTAGAGAGCCATCGGATTTTTTTGTTTAATACGATAAACCCAACGACAACCGATAAATTGGCAGTAGGTGGTGCAGGACAAGATCCCAAGTGCGATTGCTATAAGAGCATTGTATTCTTTCGGCCATTGGCACGTCTCCAATGAAGCTGGTTTGTTGGCTTCCCCGTAAAAGAAGTCGTTCAGGTGGAAGTGATGAATGGTGAGAGATTAAGGATGGGAGAATGCGAGGCTTAAGAGAGCTGTTTTGTTTTACGAGTGATCATGTGATGTGTTTAGTATTAGAGGAAAGATTATGTGGTGGAATTTGAGGTTGAGAAAACAGAAGAGTCAAGGCTTTGCAATTGGATGATATGTTGGTCTTTGTAATGGTGAATGTGAGATGGTATGGTTAGGGGTGGAATTGAACTTGTCCAACATCTGGAGGAGAATGAGCTGTGTTAACGTTGCTGCACAATTGAAGTGTGTTCGTAGGAGTGTGTTGTCTAGTCGGAAAAGAAGTTTGATGTCTTCTGAAGATATAAAAATCTGATTTGCATTCCTAGAGAATTTATCAGATTAGGAGATAAGGGTTGAGATAAGAATAGGAGGTAAGTAGGAACAGGAGAAAAAAATTCCAGATTTGTAGGAGATAAGAAAACGTGAAGATTTTTCAATATCTCCATGCTGAAAATTAGGAGATACGATTGAGGTAGAGATGGTTAATATTAATTAAAGAGGGAATTTAAAGAGAGTAGAAGTGCTAGATTCAGGTAAAGTTGAGGAGAGAAGATGCGTGATAAGGAATATTCCTCATTGAACCTACATGTCTAGAGATAAATACTTTATTTACTGGAAGGATATCAAAGCATCTGTATCCTTTGTAGTTAGATGGATAGCCAAGAAAGATAACAATGTTTAAGAACGAGGAATCAATTTGTGGGATGAATAGTCACGTAAGTTTGGGTAAACATGAACAACCAAAGAACGTAGATGATTGTACGTAGGAGGCTTGCCAAAAAGAACTTCAAAGGGAGTCTTAAAACGAAGCTTAGATGAAGGAAGAATATTTAAAAGATGGACAGCAGTGTGCCAGGGCTTCAAACCCAGAATTCGAGAGGGAGTGATGCTTGAATAATAATGATCGGACCATATTTAAAACTAGTACGATGCATGCGTTCAGCTTTGCCATTTTGTTTGATGAGTATGAGGACATGAAATGCGAAGCAAAACACCATTATCATTAAGGAATGAATCGAAAAGCCTTGAAGTTTAACAAACTCAGCAGCCCGTCAACATTGAAATGCTTTTAAATTTCGTAGAAAACTGGGTCAATACATAGGCCATAAAATTGCTTAATTGTAGTAAAAGCATCAGATTTTACGCTTGAGAGGAAAAACCCATGAAACTTTGTGAAATCGTCATGAAATAAAATATAATATCGAAATCAGTAAAAAGAAAGAACAGGAGAGGTCCAAATATCACTAATGAATTAACTCAAATGGAGATGAAGAAAAAGAACAAGAATCCATAAATGGCAATTTTTGGTGCTTGCCAATTGATCAAGCATTACATAAATTGTCTAAACCATTAATCTCAGACAAGGTTAGTTATTGACCCTATTAACGAGATAAAATAGGTGAGCTTGGATGTCCTAAACGACGATGCCAAAGATTTGGAAAAACATGTGTAGCAGCAAGAGCAGGACAACGAGTTGCAGCAAAGCCAGCAGAAGAAGAGTAAGGCATAAAAGTGGTCCAGAACTATTTGCACCGAAGGAAGAGGCTTCTTCGTCTGGAGTTCCTTAATGGAAAAACCAAAAGGATCAAATTCCATAGAAACAATTATTATTCGAACAATTACGAACGCTTAGTAAAATTGGTGGAAAGATGGGGAACAACTAAAATATCTCTAAGAGAAGAAAAGAGAATCAGAAGTAGAGAAATTAGAACATGTCAATGTAGGAAATGGGAGTTGAGTTCCATTACCACACTACACGTTCTGACCATTGTATGGAGTAATAGAGGATAAAATTGGATCATTTGGAGTCATGTGAGAAGATGCTCCACTGTCCACAAAACCAAGAGGCATCACCAGGTGAAGAACATGAGTAGTTAGAACTAATATCTGAGACAAAGGCCTTAGAATTTAGAGAAGGACACTCGAGCAGTGTGGTGTGGCTGATAGCACAGTTGGCAGTAAAGCGTCAACATTATTTTAGGTTGAGATATGGATTGAAAACAGCAGGATAAGAAATTGGAGGAGGACCTAAATGGAAGGAAGACGGGACGTAGAGTGAACTGTTGAGGCCCGGCATTAAAAAATTTTGGTATTCCCTTGATTATCATGCGACCTCGACCACGCCTACACCATTAGAATGGCGCCCACCAATTGTTTATGACGACCACACGTCCACGACCATAAGAGGGAGACGATTGCTGCTTGGCCATAAAAGCATTGGTGGAATTATCCGTAGTAGAATTAGAGAGACTACTTAATTGGGCTTCATGAGGAAAAGTAGAGAGCGTGCTTCAATAAAGGTAGGAAGAGGAACACGAGTAGAGATAGAGGTGCTCACAGACATAATTATTCTGGAGTTCATCCAGAAAGTTTTTTGTAGAACAAGATCAGATTCAGAGATTGGATTACTATGGACGTCAATCGCATCTGCAATGGATTTGAGACGATGGACATATTCATAATTGAAAGTTTACCTTTCTTAAGGTTATGAAACTGACTTTGAGTTGAAGTGTTCGAGCATAACTTGAATCACGGAATAATCCGTTTTATTTCATGACGATTTCACAAAGTTTTCATGGGCTTTTCCTCTCAAGCGTAAATCTGATGCTTTTACTACATTTAAGCAATTTTCTACGAAATTAAA